AATGTTCCCCTCACTTTAGGGTTTAATAAGTATTTTCTTTCATTTATTGTAAGCTTTTATATTTTATTTTCTGTTTTTATTATTTTAATTTCATTAAATCTAAACTCCACCATATTTGAGTTTTTCTTTTTTTAAATAAGTCTTTTTGTATTTTCTCTTGAACACAATCAACTTAAAATTCTAAACTCTAATTAGAATCGGTTAAAGATGTGAAAAAGATGGTTGCACGGTGGAATGGAAGATGGATGAATGAATGACTATCTAATTACTTTTACTTATAATGAGAAATGTATGTCCAATAGCTTTAACAATTATCTAATCTCAATGATTTTAATTAAGATATGAAATCATGTAAAAGACAATTATAAGATATGTAGTTTATTTGATAATATGAGCAGTGTGTATTAATATTTTAAATTTAACATTAATAAATGTAAAAATAGTTATTATTAAACTTTAATTCTTTTTTTACAAGTTACCCCACTAATCTAGGGTTTTGAATCCGCCAACCCTAACCTCATTTTATTGTTATAGGCTCGTCTTGAACAATTCAGACTAAGTGGATCCGTTTGTAATGAATCGTTACTATCCATGCAATATGAATATTGCCTATCTAATTACATGGACAATAATGTTTTAACTGTTTGTTTTCTTCCTCTAATGGTAATTAATTTTTTGTGTACTATAATCTTATATTAATTGGGCTTGATATTTCTTGGCCCTTTTGAATAAAATAAAAGACAATGATCGAGTGACAGACTAACCTTTGCCTAGTCTATTGCACAAGCAGTAGACAAAATGGATTACGAAGTTATATAAACTCAAATTTAAATTTAAGTATATAATACTGTATTTAATCTGTATAAAAAAATAGTGAGAAAAATCCAGATAATTTATTACTTAACAGTATCTTTATATTCATGACAAAAAAAAATCTTTATATTGGCGTCTTACCTACTAACCTTTTATTACATTCTAACTATAGTAATGTTAAGGTTATGTGTGGAAAAACAGTTTATGAATTAATTAAAGCTATAAGATTAATTAAAAAATGACAATTATTTTCATTAAAATTTTTAAAAGTTATTATACTGACTTATTGAAGGTAAAATGAAAAGAATGTGATAAGAAATTATAAGCTCAAATTCCACATAATGTTTAAAGAAATATTATATAAAAGTTAATAAGATAAATATGTTTAATAAATATTTGTACTTTAATTAAATAAGTTTATAAGGTAATGAAATAAATTATATGCTATATAAGTAAATGGCTGGCCAAAATTATGATATCAAAATAATGGACCAATTTGATACATGCATTACATAAATTATTTGATTGTTCGGTATACATTATTTAAACTAAATTATACAATTTGACTACATATATACAAATATCTGACCAAAATGAAAATAAGAGACTATACATACAAATCACTATGTTTAGAATATATAATTTGACAAAGATTTGCTAAATTGATCAACGAATATACAATAATCATATTTAATTTCTAATTTTCTTGTTTTTTGGTTTATCCTTGTTATGAATCTATATAATGTTTGGGTAAATGATGCATGATAACCCATAAACACACTCTTGCTAAAATTAATCAACGAACACATGAATCAAATCAAATTTATAATTTTCTTGCTTTCGGTTCGACCTCTTTATGAATCAATATAATGTTTAGGAAAATGAAAAATGGATGATGAACACACATATATATTCGCAATGACAAGACGTATTGCTTTGTACGTAATAAAACACATTAATTTATTTAAGTGTATTGCTTAATACCTAACATTGTAGAACAGAAGTCATACCGTTCTCAATTCAGCAAAGTAGATGCACACATGTAATGTCAAAGGTGTCAAGTCGTAGGATTTTATTAATGAATACACGTTAGCTATCAGAAATGCATCCTAAAAATACTAGAAATATTTAATAGTTTTAAGTAATAATTTAATAAACATCAACAAAAGTATATTTATTTTTTAACACATGAACTTACGTTAACAATATGTAGACTTCCATAATATCCATTTACGTAGTAGACAGACAAGATAATTAAACAAAAAAGGTACTATACATTAAACATTTGATTTTGTAGATTGTCTACTAATATTAATGGAAACTTCAAACCTCGTACAATTACCATAACGTTCAGAACGGTTCTACATATTAACAGAGAAAAAAAATAGTGATTAGTTTTGTCCTTATTAATATAATCTGTATTTAATTGAAATTAATTTGTTTATACAAATATTATGTCTTTAAGCTAATAATATATAATGTCCTCAGAATTTTTAATATTAACTTTTAGATTAAATTATAAATTTAGTCTTTATATTTAACAAATTTATTTATTTATTATATGAAAAGATTATAATTTAATCTCTACCTGAGTAAGTATTTTCAAATTTGTCTTTCTAATTAAAAACATGTTGACAATCTTAAATAAGAAGAATTAAAATGTAAAAAGATTAAAACGTAAACATTAATTATAAAGATTAATTTATAAATAAGTAAAACTATAAAAATTAAATGTGTATTCTAACTAAATAATAAAAAATAAATTATAAACTTGTTTATAAAAATAAATAAGATACCAAATAGTTTTTTAAAAGACTACAAATTTATGTCTAAGTATTTCATATTTCAAAAATAGTAAATCTTTTTTTTATAAAGAAAAATTATTTTATCTTGCATTCAAATAAATGAATAAAGTATCAATATAAATAATTTTATTGTATATCAATTTTTATATAATATTTTTTAAAAAATTATTATGTTTAGGATATAAAACCATATTAGATATAAGTTTGCTTGAAGATATAATTTTTATTTTTAAAAATTTTGTGATTTTTTATTTAGTTCCTCATATTTCTTTCTAAGTAAGTCTAAATTTTTTATATTTTTAGTTTAAATATATATTTAATCTTTATAATTAATATTTATTTACAAATTAGTTTTTATAATTCACATTTATTTTTGAGTCCTTATATAAGTATTTTTTTTGACATTTCAATCATTTTCAATTGATGGCATTAACATATGTTTAACATATAGGATAATCTAAAAATATTTACTCATGTGAGGATTAAAATATAACTTTTTTTATGTTAGGATTAAATTAAAAAATGTGTTAAATATAAAAACTAAATTTATAATTTAATTTAAATTTTATTATATCAATTATTAATGTAAAATTTTAATTTAAAAAATAAAATATTATATTTAAACCTCATCCATTTATCATACTAATATAATTATCTATTAATAATTATATGTTTACTTATCAGTATAAAAATAATATAGATTATGAGTACATTTAATAGCTAACTTAAACTCATAATATATATCAAATTAATTTTGATTAGATAAAAAAAGTATACTAAATCAACTAAATAGTTAGCATTAGTTTTTGGTAGTGTAAGCAGGTCTGTCAACGCTCTCTGGACAATGATTGATCGTTAAACTTGTTTATTTACAAATTAAATATTAAGTATAAATGCTATTATTGAACAAAGAGCAATAAAACTCATTTATTTATCTAAGTTATGAACAATTTTGACATTCGCAAATAATTAAGTATTTCTTTTTGACGGAACAAATAAATAAGTTGAAAAGTCAAGTGATCTTAGTAAAAAAATCTAATGTTGTATATTTGATGTGAGGAAATCGATTATCTAGTGCCTTATTTCATTTTTATTCTCCATTTCTAAAGTTTGTAAGAGCTATTTGATTATCTTTAAAAAAGAAATCATATTTGAGCAGTGACCAAGGTTTTGTACAACTGAAGGAAAAATAGTTGCCCAGTGCAGGCTGAAACCTGGGTAACTCATGAAAAGTTGAAAACAACCATCATGTTTACCACAGACCAATGGTCCAAGCGGACCCCAACTTTAAATTTGGAATATTATATATATATATATTAACAAATGTATAGCTCTCATATTCTTTCATCTAAAATGACGTTTGCATTAATGCAATTATTATATAGGCATATACTCATGTATGAAAACACTTGCGAGAAAAGAAATGATACCAATATACTTCAAACGATGTATTTCATCTTATGCTTAAAGGTGACTAATACACTAGTGATACCAAAATTATTTTTTATACAAAAATAAATATTGAAAATTACATTTATGTATAAAATTTAAACAATGAATCCATAATTTTTTTTCAAAACCCAAATTTAATGTCGATAAATTTCAGTGATAGATTTTTAACAGTTATATTCAAATTGTTCCCTTATTAATTTTGATTTTTTAAAAGTTAATTAATAAAAATAATGAATTGTTATTATGAAGCATGCAATTAAAAATCATTTGAGCACATTTTAGCTGCTTAACCATATTTGACATGCAAACTTATTGGCCAACACACCGCAGATAAATTATATTTTTAAAATCACCATAGAATTGAAGATCAACACTTGAATGTGCTTGATTACTTTGAAAGCAAACTCTATGGTGTAAAAGTTAAAAACATGGGGAATTTTATTGCAGAGATCTCTGACAATTAAATTAAGGAAGGCATGATCAATTGAAGCAATCAAAACCAACATTTCTGATAAGTGATAACTCTATAAAAATCACTGCTTAAGATCAAGAATGGTCGATCCTTGATTCTGGCCAAAAATAAAGAAAGGTACTTGATTAGAGAAAAAGAAGGTTTGACAATTTGAACCACTAATAAGAGTCTATATCGTTCAAAAAGTAGAAACCCACCACAGTACATACTCATTATTCCACCACAAATATATAAATTAAATAAATAAAACACACATAAAGAAAATAAATTTAGAATTGCATTTAATATATATAAAAATAGTTAGCATTATAGTTATTAAATATAAAGTGAGTCCTAAAGACTAAAACATCATTAGTGAGGAGATATTGATAGTGTAGTCAAACCAGACACTTCTCTTCCCTCTTCTCGCTTTCTTCTTTTCCTTTACAGCATTCATAAAGTAAGCCAACGCATAAAGCCACCCCACAAACGAACCAAAACATTCTTTCTTGCACTAAGGAGCAACTGCAGACAAACAAGGTGAACTCTCTCTCTCTCTCTCTCTCTCTCTCAAGTCATCCTTAATTGCTTTTTCCCTTTCTTTTCTTTGAATTTCATGGTTATAGCAACCGCTGTTGGCCAAAGGTGGGTGTGGATTTTTCTCATGTATTCTAAGTTATTTATTCTGGGTTTTGGGGTTGTTAAAAGCTGACACAAAATATCAACTTCCACTAGATTTAAGAGTTGTTTGTTTCTTTGATTTAAATTTATTTTCTAGCTAAATATATGTAAGAGACGATCTTCATGGTAACTACTGCAAGGTCCACACACATATATATATACATATATTGACATTCTATCTTCTCTTTTTCTACCAAAGAAGTTTTTAATCAAGTCCTAAATACAAAAAGAACTACTTTTCCTTCTCCTTCTCTTTACCTTTTTGCTCGTGTGATAATTGTTAAAGAACACAAGAATGAAAAAGATACCATTTGTTATTATTATTGATTACTTTTCATGTATTCCTTTCACCCTTATAATTGTCTGCGTAGAAACTCCTGCTACCTTGTTTGATTTCATTGATAATTATTTCCAAAAATATGTTATATGCAAACTTAAAATCTCACCAGCTAGCTCTTGAAATATTTTGTGTCGTAAGGATTAATATTCTCTAGTCACATATGTGAAAATATGTTGTAACTATGTATAGGTGTCCTCTCTCCTTTGGGGTTTCTCAGGACATTGGACTTGATGGAGGGGATAGCTCCCAATTCATGTGCAAGGACAGTTTTAGAGAAGAAAGCAAGGCCACAAGAGCAACTGAATTGTCCAAGGTGCAATTCAACCAACACAAAGTTTTGTTATTACAACAACTACAGCCTCACACAACCCAGATACTTTTGCAAGACTTGTAGAAGGTATTGGACAGAAGGAGGGTCTCTGAGAAATGTCCCAGTTGGAGGTGGTTCAAGGAAGAACAAGAAGGTCACTTCAGTAGCAGCCACAGCTTCATCATCATCATCATCAAAGGTTCCAGACCTAAACCCACCAAACCTCTCAGCTATTTCTTCCCAAAACCCTAAGATAATGCATGGAGGCCAAGATCTCAACCTATCTTTCCCAGCTATGGACAAGTATCATGGCATGCCCCCTTATGTTGAGATGCAAAACAGTGACACCAGTCATCACCAAAACTCTTCTTGTTCTGCTGCTCCAAGTTCTCTTTCAGCTCTTGAACTCTTAAGGTCTAGCATGGCATCTAGGGGTTTGAATCCTTATGCTCCTTCTTCCTTGATGCCAAACTCAAATAACAATGCCCTTTACCCATCAGGGTTTCCCATGCAAGAAGTAAAACCAAGCCTTGGCTTTTCTTCAGTTGATGGGATTGGGAACAGATCATATGATCATAATCAGGTTCAAGAGAGGGGTAGTGGCAGAGTTTTGTTCCCTTTTGGAGATGTTAAGCAGCTTTCTGCTGCAGGTGCTGAAGTGGAACACAATAAAGAACAAGGGAATTCAAGTGGATATTGGACTGGAATGATTGGTGAAGGGACATGGTAAGAAAAGAAAGAAATGGGAAGACAAAGGAAAATTAAGAACATGCATTAATAATAATATCATCTCACATATTTTCTTTATTTTGATCTTCCCTATTTTTCTCTTTTCACAATATGGATCATTTGTCTGAAGTTGTTCAGAACTAACAATAGGACACACATGGTTAATTACTTTGTTTTGTACACACTGCCTTTGTTTCTTTGGGAGAAAATGTGACTTGTTTTACATTTTAAAAATTAAAGATAGAAGAAGAGGTGAATATTGGGCCTGTTTTTGTCCACGGCATGCAATTCCTATATTCATGAATTCTTCTGTAAGGAGTAGCAATTTGTGTATTAAATTTTCAAAGGTTTGGTTCAAAGGACTTTTGGGGTGGTGAAGGAGGGAGAGAGAGAGAGAGAGAGAGAGAGAGAGAGAGACTTAGGTGTTCAAGTTTGTAAGTGTAACCATAATTATAAAATTGGTTGAGTTGCTTTGTGCTCTTTCCAGCTACTCTTTCTATGTGTGTGTCTGCAAAAATTAGTGGGTTGTCAGCTTTGTTGTCTAAATTATCACATCTGAGATTCTTCCAACTATGAAAGCACTTTGGTGGAATTATTCGGAAGAATAATAGTAAAAGAAAACTGAAAAGGAAGGACAAGGGAGTGTTGTATGATCTCAGTGTTTTAGCTGAATCAGGAATTGATGTCACACCCACTTTTAATGCAAGCTACAATTAATAAAACATATAGTTAATTACATGTACTAAAACAGTAAGACCGTATAATTGGCAAATTGGACAAATCTTGAGAATTGGATTACCTGCCCCAACTAAATAATACTAACCTAATATAATTGTCATCCACTTGCATCTTAATTTAATTTCAACACTTCAATTTCATGAGTGTCCTATGTCATCCATCCACCTGCTGTTAATTTTAGTATTTGCAAGGACTATCAAATTTCTCAAAACCTTAACTTCGTTCGGTATTTTAATGGGACCCTCAAACATTCCCTTAGGCCAAGTGGAAATTATTTCTTCCACTGCCCAAGTCAATGGATTGGCTTGCCTTCACATGTGGATCATTCATTATGTATTTAACCTTTTTTCCAAAAAAACAAATTAAGTATTGTATTTAAGGTATTAGTACATGAATTTAAAATTAAAAAATATTATTCATATATTTTTAGCATGTTTTTTTAATATTAATTTTTTAATTAATGTTTTTAGAATATCGGCTAGTAGGATTTTTGTTTCTTTGTTCTTTTGTGTTTTGCACTTTGAGGGAGTTTGATTGGAGGATAAAATACCTTTCCTCGTGTGTTGGCCTTCTTCTCACGCCAATCGCTTAATTATTCTCTTTTTCTTCTTCTGAGGGTATTAGATTCATCTTTGAAAATCAAAACGTTTTTCCAAGATTGCTAACCCATCTTGCAACCAATTGCATTCTAAAATATCAGAGTAATTTATAGCACAAATACAGTCTGCTAAATATAATTATTGCTTAAATATTCTTTCTACCTCAAGCCATATCATTTTAATTTAATCTTAATAAAATTAATTTTAATTTTAATATTTTTAAAATTAATAATTTTAATTTTCAATTACTATTAAATAATGACTTGATTAACTTAAATATTTTTATGGTGTACCGTGTGTTACTTTTTTGAAGAGTTGCGTTTGTGAGATATATTAAAATTAATAATTTTAAAAATATAAAGAATAAAATAAAAAAATTAATTTTGTAAGAACAATTCAAAAGATTATGTATTTCTGAAAAATCAAAGACATATTTAATTATATAATTATTTAAAAACTCAAGATATATTAAAATAACTTTATTTAACATCAATAAAGTATTCTTCCAAGCAATTTTGATGCCTTCTTTAGTTTTTTAAATTTTAATACTGTAATTAGCTTTTTTTTCTTTTAGATTTGCCTAACAGGTATAGCTAATATAAGGAGTGCTTCAAATATTCTTCGTGAAGAGTAATTCTTGCATATAATCTTATCGAATATAGCCAATAAAAAAGTAGGATATAAATAAGTGGAATTAAGTTGAATGATAAAATTTTAGATTTAACTTAGAGAGATAAATTATTTAAATTTAAATTATATATTCAAATGAGTTAAATTTAAATTTAAGTTTAACTTATTTTACAAAATATGAAACCAAGGTTTGTTTAGTTATTAACTTAATTCATGACCGATTCATGACCTATCTATTAACTTTTAACTCTTTAGGTATTCATCGGCAAAATCCTAAAATAAAATCAATAAAACTAGAAGTTGTAAAGCAACAAAGCTTACACACAATTGATATAGATATTTATATTTTAAGTATAATGAAAAAAAAATTCTTAATTATGTGAATTAAAAACTTTTATTAAAAAGATAAAATCCACTTTAATAATTTTTATGCTTCGAAGAAATTAGTTATTAATATTAACTAGACATTTAAAATCAAGCCTTAGCACACACGAGTCCTGGGCACACACCAAAACATAGAAACTAAACTTAAAAACATTTTAAAATTTTTTATTCTAATGATAATTTAAAAATATAAAAATGCAATGTCTTTTATTTTAAGAATATTAAAAATCAATTTAGTTTAATAAATATTATTTTTCTTGAGGATGCATATATATTCTAGATAAAATAAATATTATTTTAATAATAATTTGTAAATATATATTGCACTTAACATTGATAATTTTTTTAATATTAATTTAAATAGTTAGAGAAACTAAAAACCATTTCAACATGGTAAACTACTAAGACTTTCTTCATTAACCTGTTATGAATTTTAGTTAATTGTATAATAATATAAAACTAAAATTGATATACATTTATGGTTGGGAATAAATTTGCGCCAATACATGGCTTTTTTTATGATTTTTTAAATTATAAATATGATTTTTTTAAATTATAAATATAATTTTTTTATAAAATTATAAAAATATAAAAAAATTAAATTTTTTGATAAATTAGTACTTTAAAAATATTTTCTTATTATTATTTAAAAAATAAGTTTAGAAAGATATTGTGTACTTTTTAAAATATTTTAAAGATTAAGAGATATTTATATATATATTTTAAAAAAATTACTAACTTTATTATCTATTAATGTAAATTTAATAGTGATAATTATTTCATATGTGAGATGGCATAAAATGCCTTCTTAACACAAAAATTACCTTTCAAAAATCATTATTGATACAATTTTTGACATTTTACAAATTTTCATTATTTTATCTCTGTAATTTTGTACCTAATATAAAAAACTAATCCAGATATTCGAGACAAAATTAATTTAATTATTAATTAATTTAAATAAATGTTTTTATATGTGAATAGCCTTACCCTAACTACAAACCTCAAATAAAAAAGTTATTTTAACGTTTGAAAGATAAAGGGTCAATCAAAGTAGTTAATACAAGTTGAAATGTCAAATATGCCCTTAAAAGACTAACAAAGGAACATGGCATATTAAATCCGTGATGAAAGATTTTTATATTTGAAAGTTTAACTGACATGGAAACTTGACTAAAATATCATTTGAATTAATAAAACAAAAGAATCGGTCATCAAACAACCAACAATCAAGTTAATCTTTGAAAGAAAAAATAACAATGAGGTTAGGTTTAATTAAGGAAGAAGAAAAAAAAATGGAAATGTAAAAATGGTCTTCCAGCAGATACAGGATTGTAGAACTTTTTAAAAATAAACATTTCAAAACAAGTCTTTATAACTTTTCAAGCAGATCCTGACATCGGGGAGACATTCACATTTCATGTCACTTCCAACTTGGCCATCTAAAATTGGACTAAATAATTTGAGTTACTTTTTATAAATAAAATAAAAAATAAAACTAACTTGTTAATCTACCAAAAACAAGTCATTAATTATTGAAAATATGGCTACTTAAAAATAAAATAACATGCTTAAGTTTTCAACGTAGTGTGTAGACCAAGATAAATTTTTTCAACGTAGCGTGAATTCAACCTAGACCACAAATTCTCAACCACCCCTAATTTTCACCACTTGACTTGGCGTCTATGTTATATCTTCGTGTTTTAATTTATTCATTACAACATTCCATTCCATGACATCATAGCTTTTAATGGAATAGAATTTACAATTTATGCTTGTGATAATGAAAGAGAAATTTTTATTTCCAAACAAAAAAAAGAGTTGTACCTATAAAATTCAATGCTAACGCAAAGGATCATACTTGTATATATGTTCTCAGGCATAAATTGGAAAAAAAAAAAAAAAAGGAATAGAAAAGAAGGGTACATTTTAAAGTACCGTTATAATCCGATACATATCTTCTCTACTGTACAGAAATAACTCAACATATATTTATTTGTTTAATACCTTAGAAGCAGCTTAAGAAACAGTTGGGAACAGAACATGAGTATCCTTTCTGCCTTCTATACAAAGGGTATGACCTTTTTTCCAGAACAAAGGGACAAGGGGGAGGCTTTTGAGCAGGTAACCAAAGTTTCATGGACACAGCAACATTTCACTTATCAGCATTGATTCCAAATATCCTCACCTTGTGCATGTGTGGGAACTTTGCAACAACCAGCACAATCACTGCAACCGTGTTGAAGAACAGCATTGGGTTCTGATAATCGGTTGTGTGAGACGCTATCAAGTACCTGACAGTGACAAAATAAAACCCAGTAAATAACTATTGGCTTTTAAATCAGTGTGGATTCAATGATGAGTGAACACAACTTTGTGTGATGTTTATATCTTATCTTCAAGATAAAATTACATTATTTTCTAGTTGAGCTGTTGAACAAATCTTATTTCTTTCAATTATTTTGCTAAAAAACTGTAAATTGTAGCATTAATTATGATACGTTATTTAATTATGTTTAGTTATTCTTATATGTTTCTCAAATAATTTTTTCAAAAGTATGTGAACTCTTACCAGCTCGTGAGTCAAGTTTTACCTAAGCTCGAATTAGACAACCTTACACCCACCACCACCAAAGCCTTTTCCTATGAGGCAAAGTTAGTTACAAGGATTAAACAAAACCACTGTGTTATTCCATGAGCTATGTCCTCAATACGTTCATTTAGACCTTAGTCCTTTTTAATGATTTCACCTAAAGTTTTTTGGTCTCCTTCTATCTCACTAAGGGATATCCTCCATTTGATCCATTCTTCATATTGGGGTTTCTATTAGTCTTTTTTATCATATGGCCAAAACACCTTTGGCAAGGTTACCATTATTTCTTCAATACATTTTGGTCCTACTTTCTCTCTTTAACACATTTATTTATGATCCTGTTTTCTCATGTTTGTGCATTTTTCTATCGTAGCATCCTCATTTTGGCAATTCTTGTTGACTCATTAACCTGACATTTAGTAATATACAACACTGCAAGTCTGTGTGGTCAACTTTCCTTTAAGCTAGAAAGGAACCTTCCAATCGCGTATAACACCTGACATTTCTCCATTTCATCCAGTAGGACTGTATGATGGATTTGGTTTCTCTAAATTGAAGAGACATTTCAGAGAGAAAAGTATCAAGTTATAAGTTTTAACATTTGATTGGGAATCCAAGGATGGATATTGTGGTAAAATACATCCACACATGTATTCTCTAGTGATTGCTTGTAGGATCACAATAATATGATTGTTATGGAACATGTAGATATAAACCTTTAAGTATGAACTTCTACACAAACTAATTCCAACTGCATGCAACTTTAACTACATCCCAGCAGAAAAACATCTTCTCATAAGCAGAAGGGAATGAGCACACATGCACACACATAGTAAGAGAAAAGGGAGTCTAGTTCTATCAGTAGTCAATACAACACCCTCCGCCCCAAATAGGAGAATAACATTTAATTGCAAGTTCTTGCACCACAAGAAGTTATTAACCAAATAGGAGTATAAAATGAAAGTTAGAATAACATTATCAAGAATCACACAATTACATTTTTCCACATCAGTGTAGAAAATGCTTTAATGCATACAATTAACACTTGTATAACAAGGGTGCATGTGCACGCACGTACACACACTCATAGACCTTACGACATCACAAGGAAGGAGCAGACATTTATATATAAAAATGCTGGCTATGCAAATTTGAGAACTTACAGCACCAAAGGAACAACTGTTAGAAACTTCCTGTTTCGAGTGAGCTGCTTTCCATTGTCTACCTGCTCCCACCAAGTCAATCTATTGTAGATCCCCTGGTCCTCTGCAAATGGAGTTCCTTTCTTCCAGTGAAAAAAGTGATATGTTATCTGTTGGACACAACATAATCAATTAACCCAGTAGAGAGATGAAATTATTTTAATATTCATTAGATTATTTTAACATTCATTGAAATATTTGACAAATAAAATATTATTCTATAACCTCATCCAATCACCCGATTAATACAAGAAAAGAAAAGAGAAAATGTCCTGCCCATCACCTCACCAAGTAATAAATGAGAGAAAATGGGTTGCCTAAAGTATTCTATTAATATGTTTGATTAAGAGACATAACCCACCTCTTACCTGCCCCAAAAAGCAAAAGATGAAAACAATGACATACAATTCATTCCAAGCCTTACTGTTAGACAAATATTTAATGAGAAGGTATAGAAGGTTGTGTCGAAGCAATATCAAATAAACTAATATTATACTTTATAAAATGTTCCATGAAACACCTGGTGTACTTCTAAAGTCAAACAGAGGAAAAGTATGAGAATTTTTTGAACATTGTTAGGAAGACAGAAACTGCAAAAGTACAGTAAAATAAAAGCAAATATAGTTCAAGATTCACAACAATCAAATAAATCTAGCATTTTCCTGAACCCCATTCTACTTTTAACAAATTCAGAAAATGTGGCATTTCACCTTCTCAAACAATCAGAAAATTCCTCTACGGATCATCCAGATAGCCAATGGCTACCTGTTCTAAGACAGACACGAAGATGAACTTATTTCCTGCGATTTGGAGCAAACCCAGATACTCATCATGACTCCATCACAATCATTGGCAAGCACAGAGATCCACATAAGACATTGGAGATTTCCACATGAATTCTCTAATAGCATCAATGTCTTTCAAAACTAAGAGACCATGAGAAGTGAAGGATGTTTTTTAGGAAGAGATTAAGACAAATAAAGATCAGTCTGTGCTTCCACATTTTGCCGAGGGAAATACAAAAGTAAGAGGAGGTGGTGTTATGGAGAGGATACAACTAATAAAGTAGATATTATTTTAGGATAGATTACTAAAGAAAGTTTAGAACTTGGTGGGGCAATGGAGATGGGACAATGTTAATGACTAGTAAATTTGAGAATTAAATGTAGTAGCTCAATTGCCAACGAAAAGATTAATGGGACAATGTTAACTTTTATCAGATCAAGTAAACTGGTTAATGCATAGATTTTTTATAAGCTTATATACTTTATGGGATTGTACTTTGAGTAACATATCACAAATAGTTGCCAATAGCGAGCAATGGCGGCAGTGCATGGTGGAGCAGCCTTCAGCTGCCACAGATCTGGCACAGCGGAGCATTTTTCCTGTTGCAGCCATTGCGGCTGTATTCGCAGCCCAAAATGCGGCACAATAGCATCACCACAGTGAAAGATATCAATTTCACTTTTCTACCCTCAAAACAAAGCAATTTTTGGGTTTTTTAAGGGTAAAAAAGACATATTCTTTTAGAAATAAGCTGATTTTTTCTTTTTAGCCTTAAGATGACACAGTCTTAGGTTTTTTTAAGGGTAAAATAGTCTTCTCAGTTTTCAGACCTAACCTCACATTTCCCACGTTTTTCTCCTTCCTTTCAATGTTTGACACCCCATCCTCTCATCTCTATTGCTGTTCTGCTTTTCAACAGGAGACACATGACAACCTCACTTTTTTTCTTCTCCCCTTCTCTGCTGGACACTCCCTCCTCTCATCTCTGTTCTGCTTTGCAACAATCTCCAATCCAGCAGAGTCACTCATCTTCCATGACTTCTTTGGCAAAATCCACTTCCTTTCTTCTATCTATTCTATGATTCTAAAGTCCTGCCTTTGTTATGTTCTCCCAGAAAATCCACTTTCTTTCTCCTCATTATGTCTTTTGTTGATAATTATTTATATGCTATTTATGAATATTTTCTGAGCATTATATACATAATTATCTGCATATGTATATATTTTATATCCATATAAAGAACTTTAAAATAGCACATTTCCGTTAACAAACTTCCTAGCTACAGGAGAATAAGAACAAGATTATAGCGGAGTAAGTAACTAAACTTCCAAGCCACCAGATAACAATAGCAAGAACAAAATCATCGGAATTGGGAATACCCTTCATCATGGACAAAAGAAGACAAAATAAAATAGTAAATTATAGGAATACCTTTCACTTTCAATTCCAGATTGTAATTTTGTGAGATGACAGGTGTCATATCTCTAATTCATATATGCCCTATGATAATTCTACCCTCTCTACGTTTTTCTCAATGTTTCTGAATATTAAGATTGAAACCGAAAATCCCAAACTATTTACCATCTAAAATAGGAACCCCAACCTCCGACAATTAAATCCCTTCTAAGACAAGTATCTAATCTCACAAAGCCAAGGAGACATGAAACTCCAAGATTAAAACATCAAGCACAATTAACCCGGATCAATCACCCCTTCTTTGGACACCCAAAACCAAAAAAATAACAAACAAACAAACACATGCATACCCTAAAATTCCATTGCTAATGGGTTAACATAAATCAGACAAGAACAGAAAACAAATCAACAAAGTATCAAATCAAACACCCAAAATTAAATTTCTTTTTGTTTTCAAAATAAAAAAAGGGAAAGTTGAAAGAAGATACAGCGAAATGAGCGAGATTAACGATGGTCCATGCGATGCCAGGGGAGCAACCAAAGACGGAGAGAACGAGGATCCAAGAGAAGAAAAGGATAAGGATGTATGTGGTCCAAACTCCAGGGTATGTGAACCACTCCGTGTTCCTGTTCAGATCCGCTGGTGGCACCGCTTTCACGTACAGATTTGCCATCAAAACTTCGTTACCCTTTTGATGCAAAACCTAAATTACGCGATCTCCGATGCAAAAGTTTCCAACTTTCAATCGCTTCGATAATGGGGTTGATTAAGGGGGTTTGATGGGGCTGAAATTTCCAAAACCCAGAAACACAACCTTCTCTCTCTTCCTTATTGAAAGAAAATATCAAGGATGGATGGCGTGTGTTGAGGAAATGAAAAATGAAAATGAAAGCTAAAATTGATTTACTCCGTAAATAAATAATAATAGTAATTAATATATGAGCACTAGGATTGGAATAAATATATACATATATTTTCTTCTGACAAAATAGAACGATGTCGTTTGGAATTTCTCTTATTCTTGTTGAAGGTTAGACAGTTTTTTTTATACTTTTTTTGGGGATACAGTTGTTTAGAAAAGATAATTTGACATAAAAAGAAAAAAGACATCACCATAAAAAGAATGTAGTGTATAAAATACGACAAAAATGCTAAATGATGCAAATCATTACTCACACGAAAACTAAATTGAAATACCCATTGTAGTTTCTGTCAAATTCAGATTTCTTTTTAACCATTTATTTAACTAATTATATACAGAAACTGAAAATATAAAACTGAATTTCTATTACCATTTTTCATGTAGTATGGCAAAACTGAAAATATACAATAAAAGAAGTATATTATTTATATAACATTTTTTACAACATTATTTTTATTTCTACCTTTCTTTATTATATCAATCATTTTTTTCACAAGTTTTCCTTGTTTGTAGTATAAAAAAATTATAGTATAAATTCAATTTCTCTAAAATAAAATGGGTTCATAAATGCCAATTCAACTATTACCAGTTCAATTCAACAGGCAATTTCGCTGTAATTTGTTTTGAATTAAAAGTGAAAAGGAAATAGAATAAAGTAACAAGCATATATGTAAATACTATTAAGAAGTTCAAAGATAATTTTATCTTTGGAGTTTCTCAATGCAAATATAACCTCAGGAAAATCTGTCATTACACGCAGCATTATCATATTCTGAAGCAATACATTTCATTGGTTGCGCAACTTGAATAACTAAATACCAATTATAGCAAAATAAAAATAATAACTAGTAGATAGAAATCCACAATGAAACATCATCAATGATCCCTTTTTGATATCAACCGATGTAGTAGTTTTATGTGCACATCAAATCAGCTTGTAATATGTCTGCTTGAAGTTTCATCCTCAACCATACCCCTTGATTATATTAGGACATGTCCCATGGTCACAGTCAAATTCTCAACTGTCCCCATGATCACATCAATTCGCACATCAATGTTAGCCACACACCAACACTACTAGGCATCAAGGGGATAAGAAACATTTATGCCAACTGAGCTTCAATACCACAAGAAGTTTGATCATTTCTTCCCATTCCTTCTGGGCCACTATATATACAAGACCACTTTTACTCTACAAGGCAAAATCCTCACAATTGTGTTCTATAACATGTAAATATCACCATGCAACAATAACTAGACCCATTTTCACAAACCAATATCTAGACAAATAACTATGTCATTGTTGTGTTTCGTGAATCCACAATTAGGTAAAAGATTAGGCATGGGTTGGATGTTGATCATCCAAGACTAAGAATGGTTCAGTGAAGGACTTTTTAAGCGTGTTTGAATTACATAACTTTTACGTTAAAATATTATTTAGTTTCCAAACATATATCAAGCCCCACTCGGTTACAAAATTCACAAGTCGCAACCTTGATACAAGCTTGGTTCAATGGAACTTATATTTAGCTTAACAAGAAACTAACCATCCATCCCTTAGCAATAATAGTTCATAAATGTATTTAGTTCGCAACAGCTCCTCCAATTGTGTTGAATGTCACTTTGTATGATGTTTTTTGATCCTACTGAATTCATCTTTCCACCCTAAAAAAAAGTAAGGACTAGAAAGTAGTAGGAAGATCATGTGAACGAAATTAAAGTTAGGGAAAGGAAGCACAAGACAGCTACATATGCAGAAAATATAAATGAATCGTGTTACAATTGAAGTGATGCAAAACCGACTTGGATTAATGATTGGTCCTGATTAAGCTTTAGAGATAACGATAGGGTCAACATTTTCAAATAAATTTTATTATTATATTATTATTATGCTTTTTAAAAATATTATAATAATGATAGTAAATAAATATAAATATATAATAAACTAAGAAAAAAATTAATATGAACTCGATTGTTTTTGTTCGATATATTATCTTATATCTATACTCTAATTCTTATTTTTTAATCATCGCATTTACGTGTATTGTATTCAACATTTACACTCGTATCTATCCAAGTGATTCACGAATTATTGGCTAATCGGTGCATAATATTAATAGCAACAATTATTGAATTAAAAAATACAAATTTTTAAAAGATAAATGACAAGTAAGCTACTTCTCCCGTAAGGCAAACTAACAAGATATGTTGTCGGTTTTTCATTTCATGTACGATGATTAACAGTAATATGAGCTTATTGGATAAAAATTATATATGGACTTGAAGAACTCACTAATGGCAAGTTTTGTCACGCATGGAATCAAAGATTTCCGTTCTACAATCTAAAAATTAAAAATCGTAAAAGTCAAATTTTCTTGTATCTCCATATATTCGCGTAAGTTTTTCTAAAATCTCATATATAAAAAAACAACCCTATGTTATTGGAAGTGTCGAAATGGTAGGAACAGTAAAATAAGTTCCTAAAATGTTATAAAAATTCAAGGGTTGGCGTCGCCCGGACTCGAACCGGAGACCTTCAGTGTGTTAGACTGACGTGATAACCAACTACACCACGACACCTTGATGGCTATTTGTTAATAAATATTTATACATTGACAACAAGAAGATGGGAAGAAAATTGCCCTCACCCAATTTGGTTTCATTTACGTGTCTTTCATTAGCACCTTATATTTTATATTATTAATACTATTTGTTTGTTATCCATTTGAACGTTGTCAATCAATCATGATTGGGAAAAAATGGAAGTAAATGAACAATTGATGATAAAACAACAAAATTTTACTTTTCTCTATTTTTACATTTTATATGAAAAGTAATTTGTATCATTTAACAGTTTTTATTTTTTATATCCACATTCTTATTTTTAATGTTAGGTGAAATGGCCCCTGAAAATGTACATTCAAGCACTTCCCATATACAAATTTGGAGGGAGTAAAAGCTATTCTGCTATCTAAAAACAAAAACTAAATTTTTATAGTAATTGGTTCATTACCTTAGAGTACAATAAATAAGTTAAAGATTATGAGATAAGAGAAAAATGTTCTTTTTTTAAAACGTATATTATAATACAAGTATGTCCTCCTACTTCATAAATATCATGCATAAAATATACTTAAATATGAATAAGTGAGTAACTCAGCTTTTTGAAATTATTCTCTGATTTACATATTGTATAAATTAATTATTTTTACAAAACTTGTATCAAGGTGAGATTGAAACAATTAAAATAAGGTTTATACATAAGTTATCAAAGTAATAATAATAAGGGATTAATAATAACAATAATTATGATAAAAATAGTGATTTTGACAAAATTTGAAAAATAAGTGTATGTTACATTGTAAAATGAAAAAATATGTTGTCATTTTTTTTCCTCCCACTTTTCTTTTATGACTATGTAATTGTAAAACTAAATGGGAAGATTGATAGCTTGAAATTTATGGAACACAATGTTAGAGGAACAAAAAATGATTGCCACTTTATCCTTTCAAGAATTGGTTGGATTGCTCCAAATCATGTTAGATTTCTTATATTTTTGGATTTAGAGTCTAATTAGAGTTGTAAAACCTGTTTGTATTTTTTAAAATGGAATTTGTGATAAAGATGATAGAATTTTGTTTTAGAAAATTTATGAGATTTTTCATAACCTTCGAGTCATTTTTTTTTTTTTGTGTGTGTTATTAGATCATTTTTATGAGTTGGGTTATTTTTTTTAATTAAGAAACAATGGTTTTAATTTCATCACAAACGTCTATGTTTTGCACCATTTATAATCATTAAAAGATTGATTTGCACGATTTCAAACTTTAAATACTAATTTATACGCAGTCCAAATAATAAGAGAATAATGTGTATTTTCTTTTTTATTAACATAAAATGAAATGCAAAAAATGATCAACTCAATACAAGCTTAATGAAATTAAGAACGAATTCATACAAATAATTAAATTTAAGGCCTGAACTATGGATACATAATTATGAGTCCCATCTGTTATTTTTTATTAGGAGTATATAATTTTCAGATAAATAATATATATATATATATATATATATATATATTAGTTTAGAATAAAAATATATTTTTGTAAAAAAAATTTAATTAAATTATATGAAATTATCGTGTACAACCAAATTTACTATTAAGATGGAATGATTTTATATTAATTAATTCACGTGTTTCTGTAGTTAAAATATTTTAATTGTGCGTAAAAAAGGAAAAAGAACAGTTTAAACACGTTCAAATATTTAGTTTGACCAATTCTTCCCTTAAATATCGTTTATTTAGTTTGACCAATTTTGTTCAGAATAAGTCACAGACTCGATGTACATGTATGGATGTGAAGCTCTCTCATGTCATGTTTAAATATTTAATTATAAACAAAATGAAAAAATATACATTATAGAATTAAATGAAATAAGCGTATTATTATTAAAATATTATAATAAAAGTTATAATAGATAGTTTATTTTATCACTTAAATAAATAAAATAATAAAAGTTATAATCTTATTTGTGTAAATTCATCTTATCAATGGGATTGGAGTTTGTTCCCTACACATACACGAATTAAGACGTAAATCTTCATTGCCAGGCATCTAAATTTATTGTCTGACAGTGATTCAAATAAAATTATTTAATTTTATCTTATTTCCACCGGCTCATAAGTTTCTGTCACAATTATATTTAAGATCTTGTTAACAAATTAATGCTCTTAAAAACTAATTAAATTAACAAATAAAAATACAGTAAAATAAAGTAAAAATTACTATAAAAGTATATCAATAATAATTTTTAGATTTTTTTTAATTTCATAATTAATACTCTATTTACAACAGATACCATCATCCTTCTCCTAACACTGAACTGTAGTATTACAGGATATACGAAATGATTTAAACAAAAATAAAAATAAAAATACATGACATTTCATTAGTGTGTAATTTCAAGTTAAGAGTGTTAATGAATATAATTATTTTAATCTATCAATGATATAATAGTATCTATTAATAATAATATCCATCCGTGACATCCCTTTCTATCAACGGAAAGATGAAACTCATCTGATTCTCACCTTCATATTCAAGTTTCTTTCTGTTAGTTCCCAAGTTCTCCTTTGACCTCAAAAGTCAAACCTCATCTTCTTCCTCCTTAAACGCATTTTACTTCACAAAATTAGCACTCTGATTTACCATACACTTGTTTGTTCCCACCTTCTCTTTCGCATCCACAGCTTCCTCATTGTCTCTCTCTACCTCACCAATCACCATTCTTCTTCTTCTTCTTCATTTTTTTTCTTTTTCCTTTTTGATCAATTTCCGTGTTTTTTTTTTCCTTGGAAAATTGGGCAATGGGAGACCCATTTGGTAAACTTTGAACCTTTTGGAGGTTTTTGTACCTGGGCCGGTGGAAAAAATGGATTTTGAGAGGAAGATGGTGATGTTGGGTTTCGTTTGAAAATGAAATTTTGCAGTGACATGGAAGGTTGGATTTTGGATTTAGGTTCATTGCCTCCAACCTTTGTCATCGAATGCCGATTCCAGCTGCGATCGGCATTCGATTCATTTTATGTTCAACCTCAACCTTTCTCCATTCCGATCACAAACTAAGTCCCATCCAATACGAAATAAATAAATAATAATTTTAAAAAAGAAACAACTTGTGTTGGGTTCTGATTCAGTTACCAGAATGAATTCTGGTGCTGTGTTAGCATTGCCTCCTGTGAGCAATGTGTTCGACACAAGGGAGTCTCTTGATTTTGAGGATGACTTTGTAGAGAAAGATCCAACCGGCCGGTACCTAAGGGTATGACATGACATCACACGTTTATATTATCTGTTTTCTAATTCATTTTTGGTATACTTTAGAGGTTCTTCAAAATTTTAATCAATGTGTGTGATTTGTGGTGTTATGCATTTTTCACTCGTTGGCTTTCAAACATAATATTTTGATATTGATTAGTCATGTTTTTCTTGTATAACTTGTTGATTACAAATGTGCAATGCAAGTTATATATGTTGAATAAATGAGATGATTCTAGAGACTGTCTTATGTGCCATAATGCATCATCTCATTCGTTTGGAACAAGGGACAGTTTTTTTGAGCTTGGAAGTATTGTTTTTGTTTGAGAATAAAGTTATTTGGGATTTCACAATTGTCTTAACATGTATCTGTGAAAGCATTGCTGCTGTGAAATATAGATTCACAAACTAAGTTCAACATTTACTTTATAAGCCAGGTGTATTAATGATTATCATTCTTGATGCACAAGTATAAAACCTATCTCATGCTTAAGATTCAATACTACAGATAATCCTCTATGTGAAAATTTTCCTGCCTGTAAAGCACAGATAGGGGCAGTGATCACAATATGCCGACATTGTCCAAGGGGATTTGTCTACTTCTATTAATGATTCTATGATTTACTTGTTCTTTATATGTTGTCCTTAATTTGATTTTTTCTTTCTTCTTGTCTCAGTACAATGAAATCTTGGGCAAGGGTGCCTTCAAGACCGTGTATGATTCTTATGCCTTATCTCTGTTTTTCTTTTTTAATTTCTTTTTCCTCATCATCTCTATTTCATTATATTCAGTTCCTAGTCTTCTAGTTTGTTTCAGAATTTTACTTGCTAAGAATGATTACCTCCAAATTTAGTCTTCAATAACATTTTACGAGGTTCTTGGCAGTTTTTGTGTTAAAGCATGATATTTAATTTATTTTCTCTTTGGCAGTTATAGGGCCTTTGATGAAGTTGATGGAATTGAAGTTGCTTGGAACCAAGTTAAGATTGATGGCCTCTTTCATTCAGTAGATGATCTTGCAAAATTGTATTCTGAAGTTCATCTTTTGAAGTCTTTGAAACATGAAAATATCATTAAATTCTATAATTCCTGGATTGATGATAGGCAGAAAACTGTTAATATGATTACTGAACTCTTCACTTCCGGAAATTTAAGGCAGTATGTTCTCTTGATTTCCCCCCCTTTCCTTTATGTTATTTGGCTTTAATGTGTACATATGAAATTGTTGTACACCTTTGGCCGACAGATATCGTAAGAGGCATAAATATGTTGAAATGAAAGCTATAAAAGGTTGGGCCAGGCAGATTCTTCAAGGCTTGGTATATCTTCACGGTCACAAGCCACCTATTATTCACAGAGACTTGAAATGTGACAACATCTTTGTGAATGGAAACCAAGGAGAAGTTAAGATAGGAGACCTTGGCTTAGCAATTGTCATGCAACAACCAACTGCTCGAAGTGTTATTGGTAACATATTACTTAAATGTGATGTTTTTATCATACTGGTCCTGTGCGGCACTGAACTATGCTTTTGTTTGTTGTTGTTTCTGTATTTTAAAAGGGACTCCTGAGTTTATGGCTCCAGAACTATATGAAGAGGAATACAATGAGCTTGTCGATATCTATTCTTTTGGGATGTGCATACTGGAGATGGTTACTCTTGAGTATCCCTATAGTGAATGCAAAAATCCTGCTCAAATCTTTAAGAAAGTTACCTCGGTAAGTATATCAAGTAATCAACCATTGCCATATCCTTATCAGTTATGGTTGTGTGCTCATAATATGTACAACTGAACTCATATCTATGCTATATTGTGATGCATGTCACTGCAGGGCATCAAACCTGCTTCCCTTAATAAAGTGAGTGACCCCCAAATTAGGCAGTTTATTGAGAAATGTTTGGTTCCAGCATCTAAGAGATTGCCGGCAGAGGAGCTTCTTAAAGACCCATTTCTACATGTTGAGAATCCAAAGGATCCAGTCCTTTATCCTTTACAATCACCTAGCAAAACATCAAGAGGTATAAATTCATCCAAGTTTAGTTCTCAGTCTACGGACATGGATGCTGACTACAAACAGTTTTCTCTGAGTAACTGTTCTGAAAGCAACCAGGGAAGCTCATTTTGTCCTGTTTTTGAAGTCCAGAGGACAAATAAGAACAACCAGTTTAGGTTGAAAGGGACTAAAAATGATGACAACTCAATATCATTGACCTTGCGTATTGCTGATACTTGTGGTCAGTATTTGGTCCTTCCTTTGCCTTCACCTTTTGCTACGAACACACAAACTTGTTTTTAACATGCTTTCGTGTGCTGTGGAATCAAATTGATACTAAAATGGTGTTTGTTGTGTTACTGCAGGTCGAGTAAGAAACATACATTTTCTCTTTTACCTTGATACAGATACTGCAGTCTCTGTGGCCTCGGAGATGGTTGAACACTTGGAACTGGCAGATCATGATGTAGCTTTCATAGCTGAGCTTATTGATTACTTGATATTCAAACTTCTCCCTTGGTGGAAGCCTGCACCTGATCATCGCTCGAGTGGAGAATTAAGTCTTTGTGGTACAAATGTAGATAGCCAAAACTCAATGGCATGCCCGTGGGGTTCTGTCCTCACCAGTATTCCCTCTGAATTGGTTGTTGGTCAAGACGGCTTCTCTGGGTTTAATACAACTCCCACAGACAATTTTGTGACAGCAGATAAGTGCGGCATTTTCAACTATGCTGATAATGATACTTTCGAGAGCGAATATAATTCTTCTCCTAGTCTGACTAACATGGAAGACCAATGTTCCCAAGGATCTAGAGCTTCTGAGATAGTTGTTGAAAATACTTCCATGAAAAGTGACAATTCTCGCGAATCCAATGTTGATGGAAGTTGTAAAAGCTTAAGTAGTTCCAATTCTGAACTTGAGGTTGGGGCGGATGATTTTGAGGACTGTAAATTGCATGCAATAGATTGCTGCGCTAAGGAAGGCCTTGTGATGAATGAATTCGCAAAGAACTCAGGGTCAGTTTGTGGAGCATCTACTAATTTTGGGAGCATGGCAAGTAGCTATTCCTCTGTGTCTTCAATAGACAAGGACATTGATCTTGAGCTAAAGTTTGAACTTGATGTAATTGAGTCACACTATCAGCATTGGATTGATGAACTTACTAAAATGAAGTTGGAGGCATTGGAAGCCACCAGAAGGAAATGGATGGCCAAGAAGAAATTGGATGTTCATTGATTTTGAGGTTATTGATTCACCTCTTTTACCCTTGTCAAAATTGTTTCATTGTAAAATTTGTGATCGTCAAAGTGATTTGTATACTGGATGTGCCTCCTTTTAGCGGAAGTGAGTGACCTTACTCTCAAACTCTTTTTTTATGCTTTGGAGATAATTCTCGTTTTCTCTTTAGCATTATGTAGGAGAATGTCTTAGAAAATTTATAGTTCTAGAAGACACATTCTGATGGAAACCCTTTGATCTTTTAGTATATTGTTATTCATCGTTCATTACAACATTGCATGCCATAATTGTTGCATCTCCTCCTATCATTAAATTTCATCCCTCTACAAACTAAGCACGAGCAATTATAATCTCTCTAAGTACTTTGTTTACTTTGTAAAAGAAGAAAACCAGCGTTTCTTCAACTTCAGTTAACCAAATTTTATGAGAATTTGGATCTTAATCTCCTAAGCTATATTTGGATGAAATGGGTAAGAAAAAAAGAAGAAAAGAAATGGTTAAAAAGGAATAGTCAAGGAATAAGATGTCTTTAGATCGATAAAAATATGAATAAAAGAAAATTTTTCTTTACCTATTTGGATAAATGAAAATGAAATTAAAAAAATAATTTATATATATATATATATATATGTGTATGTGTGTAGAGAATAATCTTTTTACACTAGTGTAAGTCTAAAAACACTTACACCTAATTTGAACATTTTATTAAATTTAAATCTAATTGTCAGTAAAGTAATAAATTATAATCTGTTATATTTAAATTAAATGAAAGACTCAGATTAAGTGTAAGAATTTTTAAATTTACACCAATGTATAAAGATCTTGTCCTTTATATATAAACGTCTAAGGAAAGTGGTAGGTGAGAAAAGTTAATTTAGAAGTACTTATAAGTAGAATTTAACATTGATTATGAATCAAGTGAAACTCTGTTTAATTAATAATCAAACTGAATGGAAAAAGTGGTTTATGGTGACTAGGACTTGAAAAGTGCGCATTATCACAATCCAAACTTATCAAAAAGCAATAAAACAATTTGATTAAACTAAATCTTTTTTAATGTATATTAATGTGACCACGTGAATTACATAATATGGGATAATCTTTTTCTTTGTGACCCCTCACTGGTCATTGAAGCGAGATTTTATGCTAAGTATTTGCACTTAACACACCACAAAATGACTAATCCGTTGAGGTGACTAACAACTCCAAAATAGATATAACAAAAAGAAAAATACATTTGAAATTATTCAACATTTATATCTTCTACAAAAAATATCTTCTATGAACACTTAATAAGGGCAAATTAGTTAAGATTTATATCACAAAAAAGAAGTTAAGATTGCTACCAATACTCAACACCTCCCTTCTCTCTCTCTCTCTCCCACACTTACCCAATCCCACAGCTACCATAATTTTTTATACAAATAATATAGATACCTAGCATTAAGCATGCACTAATGCACAAACCAACAAGCACATAAAACTAAAACCAAAAGGGCAAAGGTAAGTTTTACTTTGAATAAACGATGATGATTGATGAATGGAAACACAAAACCCCATAACCCATTGATGACATTTTCAGTGGAATCTTCCTTTCTGTTGATTCTAGTTTTACATTTTGTTGTATGTGTTCTATGCGGCTGCTAAAAGGATCACCTGGCTTTTGAAGCAACGAAAATATTTGTTAAAAAATTGCATCATTTTCTTACCAAACTATTGTTAAAAAATATTGTAGTACTTTCCTTATCCCGTCATAATCAACCCCTTTTATTTAAACAATATTATTATATAACTCTTAGAATCTGCTTTACTCAATCACCCTCTTAGACATATTCTTTTCTTCAAATTATTTCTCAATGATTGACGTTGGTTGAGTACATATCTAGCATTTCATTCAGCCTTATACTGTTTGATATCCATTTGACAAATCATAACCCATTATCACATTCTGACATGGTAAGATTGGCTTGGCTGATAGTGTTTGGTCACTTTTTCATAATTGAGTCTTTGACCAATCTTTTCTTTTGCTCTTTTATTTATTATGAGTAGGATCTAATGTGGTAGTGCCAGGAAAATTCATCAATGGAGGAGTTGATGGGATCACGGGCATATTGCTGCTTTAAGTGCCAGAACCTTGTTGCTTTCCATGATGATATTGTTTCCAAAGATTTCCAGGTGAACCTTTCTCTTTCATTTTTGGCATTTTCTCCGTAGTTATGCTAGATTTCTAGATTAGAATGGTTCATCCATGTGAACCAATCTTTTGGGTTCATAATAGAATCATAGAAAACAAGATTTTAGACAACTTGCTGAGCTGAAGTTTCAGATAACATATACCCAATGTAAATCATGTTAAAACCCTTTCAAACAAGGACCTCAAATTAATCCGATCTAGAGGGAACCACTCTAAATTATGTTATAAATTTCCTTCAAACTTCTCTGTCCCATGATTTATACAGTTCATAGTTATGTCTATATTTTTACATTTTTTTCCCGCTGCTTGTATGAATTAATTTGGTGCAAAAACTGGATAAAAGGATGGATGATCAAGATTTCAAGTTCCATTTTAACCAAGGATTTTCAAGAGTTATGTGTAACAGGCAAGCAATGGAAGAGCTTTTTTATTTTCTCATGCAATGAACATTCTTTTGGGTCCTAAAGAGGATAGGCAACTTATCACTGGTCTTCACACAGTGGCTGATGTATATTGTTCTGATTGTGGAGAGGAACTTGGTTGGAAATATATTAAAGCTTATGAGGAAACACAGAAGTACAAAGAAGGAAAATGCGTCTTAGAGAAGTTCAAGATAGTCAAAGGCAACTGATAGTGAACAGATTTTGGATCTCTTGCAAAGAGGTTATTTTGAATTTGGTCAAATTTCAAAACATGATTTTAGTCACTCAAAATTTTCCTTGATAAGTTGTTGAATGATTTCTCCCCTAGTATGAACTGTTAAATGGTCCTTTTTCATATTGTACAAAAGATTCTTTTCAAGAAAATTAGGAAGATCATTCGTTGGTCTTGCTTTGCACTTTATCAGCCAAAAGACTATTTTGGCAAGTAACCTATAATTTTATTATCAGTTCCTTTTAATTTATTTTTGTAAATTTATTTCTCATTTAATAAAGATGATTTGATAAGAACTTTTGTATAAATCTTCTCTTAAATAAGTATTGATAACAACATGATCTAAAATTAGATTGCCTCTACTTTTGCATGGAGTAGCAATTCATGTAAAATTGAAATCAATTGTTGGAAAAATTGACACACTGCAGCTATCTATTTTGCAGACAGAACCCACATATATTGTTGTGTCCCCACGTGGAAAATAGGATGTACTGTCAGAAATATGTCATCTTTGTATAATCCGTTTATTTAAAATTGATTTTTGATCCTTTAAATGGGTAAAGTGAATTGAATATGCAGGGATACCAAAAAATGGTGTTTATTTAAACTTACAAATTGCTGTGTGCTGAAGCTTTTGTGCGACAAGTCAATAGTTGAATAAGACGGAAGTTGTCAGAGATGGTTCTTTCAACACTTTACTTCAGATTTCAGAATGGTGTGCAATTGTGGGGTATGCAATGCAAAACTTCTGCAGCACTTTCATTTTGTTTTTTGTCCAGCCAAAATCTCCTTCACAAAATTAGACGATAGTGGAAAAAAATTAAAGGAAAGAAAAGCATTGATTAGTATCTCTTTAATCATCTGCAAAAAGCACATACTATTCCTCATAAATAAATAATTCTTTTGTTTCTATTTTTAATTATAAAATTTTTACTTTTTTTTTTAAATTGTACTAAAAATAGTGATAATAGAACAAAAATATTTTCAGTATTTCTCATACAAATGTTTAAAAACATAAAATAAAATGAAAACAAGTAACAGCTAAGATATTTCAGAATATTGAATATTGGAGATGAAAACGATCACAGAAATAAACATGGCCTTAATATACACCAAATTCAACAGCATACACAGCTAAGAGCACATACTTTGAATATTGGAATTTCTGATCCTCGTCAAACTAATTTTGAACATTACAACAACTAACCAAAGGGGAATTCAATAATAAGATTGGACCTGTCAAACAACAAAATTTCAATAAATCCATTTAAAATGAGAAGTGTTTTAATGATTTAATTTAAATACATTTTTAATCTTTACAATTTTTCTCAAAGTTTAGTTCTGAGTTTATAACTTTTAAATCACAAAAACTAATCCTTGATATCATGATTATGTTTTAATTTATAATTATAAGTATTTAAAATGAAACATCTAAAATATAGAGATTAAAATCAAAATTTTACAAAAGTATATATCAACTAAAAATTTATTGAAATCTAATTATTTCATTTGCTCTTCCTCCACCCTTTTCTAACGCAAAATAACTTTTTTCTGTATGTTTATTTATCTTATTTTTTTATATGTTCACTAATTCATCTCAACATAATCTTCAATATATTTATTTATTTATTCCTCTTGCCACTTTTATGCCCATTACACAGCTTGGTTGTGTTTGTACAGATACGTTTTATGCTTATGAAAAATCCAAAGACTGAGGGATTCTTCTTTAGAAACTCTACCTTAAACTTTGATCATGAAGTCACCATTATATGTTATTAAAACACATTATAATATTGACCTAAATCTGAGAGACAACTCAATTTGTTGAAGGTTTTGACAAGACAGCAAACAAGTTGATGTTTGAGAATACTATATATTAACTATGGCAACATACCTGAACATATGCCTAGTAATTTTCCAAAGTTGTATAATAAAATAGTGAATAGTCCAAGGCTGATCCAACAGACAAGACCTAAGTTCAGCTAATAGAGCTTAGCTTTTGCAATGATTGCAATATTTATGCATTGGTTTTGTACAAGAGGGGATTAATCAAATGGATTTAGGTGACAAAATGAGTCAAGAAAAAACAACATATCCCGTCCTCCCTGCTGTGTTGCCTTGTCTACTATCTCTTACTAGTTTTTGCTGTATGTGTGTTTTAAATATCTATTGTAAAATTTTAAGGATTCTGTTTGCCACGTTCTTACTATTATCGTATTAATCCTCACATGTTTAAATTAATGAATGAACACTTGGTTTTGAGCATTTTCTTTGGTAAAATGGACATTGTTGATTGTCAATGATACCATTGCATTGAAAGTAGAGACACTGTCCCCTGTATAGAAGTTTACGAATGCTAGATTCATAAAATCATGTGTTAGACTTAATTAATAAAAAGTGATACACATAATTTTGTAAATTTTAATTATTAATAACAAATGTTAAAAAGAGTATGTAATTAATATTTTTCTTTTTATAAATTTCTTAATAGAACATTTAAATATACACAAATTTTCTCATCACACTTTCAGTAGAATCCATCCCCATTTATCTCTCTCTTTCTTCTATAGATATTTGGCTTATTCTTTTTTAGGGTGAGGGAAGGCAAAAATAGTCATACATGTGTACAAGGATTACCTGCAACAAGGGAGAGATTGATACCTATTTGGTAGAAGTGGAGATTATAATACCCTTCATTTACATAATTGGAATGGAATAAGACGTTTTTGTTATGGTTGCTTGTTTTAACAAATATTATTGAATAAGTAAGAGATTATCAACAAGGAATACAAATATGTGCATTGCATTAAGTGTACAGACAAATGTGACTTCTAGCTATTCTACTTGGTGGAACCAAAAACTGAGTAAGAAAAGAACTAAAACAAAATTATTATCATTATTGGCTAATAAGCATAGTAATGAGTTGGAAGTAGGTGACATGATATAGGCTGTTAGTTTGACACTAACCCTAAATGATAGTCTGAGCCCTACAAATTCAATGGGCTGATAGACATGAAAGAAATAAGCGATGATATTTAGAGTCTAATGAAAACCTGAAGATTAAAGCAATAAAAATTACAATTTTTAATTTAAATGTGTACGTCAACTTGATTAAACTGTTGAGATAAACTTTGAGCATTAAGTTTTTTAGTATGAAACTACCAGCGATTTGTGTTACAATTTTTTTTAGACTTACGTTACATTGTTATCAATGTTGATTTTTTCTTTTTTGCTATATATTTCCACCGTTACTAGTTATCACCTATCGAAAATGCAATATTTAGCGATGAAACCTTTTTTTCTTGTTAAAACTGTTGATAATAGCAAAAATGTTAGGAAAAATTTAGATATAATTACTTGTTAGTGTTGTTTACTAATAAAAATTAGAGTTGTATATAAATAATTTAATATAACATTAAATATAAATATATTATTAAAATAACTATAATTTTAATTAATAAAGAATAATAATAACACCTAAATACGAACATATAAATTGTCTCATAATATTCTAACATTAATTAAATTTTAGACATTCATTTCTTATGTACACTAATCATGAGCCTCATTCAATAACTAGTGACTCGTACGACTTATTTAACAGATTTTACATAAATTTCACTTGATGTTAAAGTATGCTAAAAGAATAATAGAAAAAGATATTACTAACATTTATAAAAAGGAAAATAATAAATATATAAAACGTCACGTTTAGATTTTGATTTGGACTGAATTTTTAGACATTAATATTACAACAAAGTTGTCATTAGCTAAGGATCAAATCAGAAGCATTATTCTCATGCTTAAATTCAAGACTCGTGCTTCAGTTTGGATCATTGTAGTATTCGATATATACTTGTGTTTTCGTCAACCATTCACTAAACGAATAAATCGGAAGTAACTTAAAACAAGTTGAGCAATATTTATATATAAAAGAATCCAACATTTCAACCAATATTTGTTTTCTTATGTGGAAATAGAATAGCATCCAACGCATTATGACAACACCATTTGAAGAAACTTGTCAATTTCTTTAATTGTCCTTTTTACATCTATGTTTCGAGTTGAGTACAGTAAATAATACACTTTTTAATGTAATGTTTTTTCTTATTATAAAATTATGAATAAACTTCAGTAAATAAAAAATCAAATCTACATTATTTTGTAATTATTAATCATTAAAAAATTGTATTTTTTTCATGCTTCAATTATGAAACCACCAAAAGTTAGCACAATAAATAGATAATCAAGTTCCTTAAGCATGCTTATTAGAGTTTTATTTTTTGCCACAAGTATAAGAAATTAAAATCATGTTGCAAAAAGCAATATTGATACTTTTTACAGCTAAAGGAAATTAGTCTCCATTAGTCAACTGGAAATATCATTGATTCATGCAAAGAAAAGAATGATCGATTGAAATAAATTTGCTGACAGAGTTATGAAAAATAAAAATATAAAATAAACCTAGTTATATGATAATTCCGAAAAAAAAATAAAAAAAAAATATTGTGATTGATATGGCCCATGTGGAAAACAACAAATAAAATATTATTGGCACTTGGCATATATGATTGATTGAGAACACGACAGAATATGAAACTTTGGTAGATAGAAGGAGAAGAGGAAGCTTCATGGAAGCCAAACTCATGAACACTTGCTGCCAATCAAGATCACATCTTAACCAGAATATCCCTCTGTTCCCACCAAGACACCTTCCAAGAAACTATCCCAAATAAATGGATATTTATTAAACCCATGAAAATTTAAAATTCAATAGCACAGAAATACATCTACTTGTGACAATTCCGTCTTCGCCTCGATTCCTCAAGCCCTTGACTTACTACAATTCCCACTTCCCCAATCCAACTTAAACTTAATTATGCAACGAAATTTTCTTCCGTGAACCTCATCACAACCACTTCATCTTCTTTGTGCACATTACTTTTTCTTTATTAAATTAAAATTACCTTCTTCTTTTTTTCTAGAACCTCCCCAATTTGTAGAGGCAAAATTACCTATGCATAAAAGTGGTGTAACTTGAAAAAAGCATAGGATGATTAGTGTGTTACACAGACGGAATTTACGTAAGTTTCAGATTCAGAAGAGGGGATTAAATCTTATATTTGAAGAAATCAATTGTTGGGCAGATTCTTGTGTGCCCCTTTGATTTAAAATTGAGTAAATTTGACTTTGAATCGTTAAATACAATTAAAACATATACATAAATATATTTAAATCACATTTTTATTAGAATATTTGTTTTTTTTTTAACTCTTCAAGAAACAAGTTCTTAGTCATAATCATAGCTCCCAAATAAATGGTTATTATTTTAGTCAAAAACACAAATAATGGGTAAGAACAATCAATCAAGAATACAACTTCTAAAACAGACGGTTGAGATGAAAAGCACAAGCGGCCAATTTGACACCATGAAGCACCTAAACGTTACCATGAGAGTTATTCGGAAAAACAAAGAAATTTTACATCTCTATAAAAGGCCATTGTCCTAACGAATTCTCATTAAGTCCTCATTACTATATAATATAAAGTCTTCCAAAGTCACTTTCTTGTTCCACATTTCTTTCCAAGGTTCACAAATTGGAGAAAAAGGAAAGTTCCTATAACAATGGAAAGCAACCAGAACATGAAGGAAAACACCATAGGGACAGAGTTTGAGGACTTGCTGCCAGTGATGGCACAGAAGCTTGATGTGGAATCCTTTGTGTCAGAACTATGTGGGGGTTTCAAGCTTCTAGCAGACCCTGAATTGGGTTTGATCACAAGCCAAAGTTTAAGGACAAATTCAGCTCTTTTGGGTATGGAAGGTATGAGCATGGAGGATGCAGATGCTATGGTTAGACAAGGTGATCTTGATGGTGATGGCAAGCTAAATGAGACTGAATTTTGCATCCTCATGGTGAGGCTTAGCCCTGGAATGATGCAAGATGCTGAGGCATGGCTGGAGAAAGCAATTGAGGAAGAGCTCAGGAAATCCTCAACTTAGAGATGTTTATGTTACCCATTTTGTAATCAATTGTAAGTTGCAAATATTTAATTTTATCAGTGTTATGTTGCTACTATTGATGAGACTCATCTGTGTCTTAATGGGTATTTTGATTTGACTATTGATGAAATGAATTTCTCCACTGAAGCATGGATGAAGTTTGATTCAAAAGCCAATTAATTATGGTACTATTTGTTGTATTTTTTTAATTACCTTGTTATGTAAATTCTAACATTATTTGATGATTTCATCTTCATCAAACTTGTGTAAATTAAGTTAGTATTTTTCCTAAAACTAGAAGTCAAAACAATAATCAATACAGAAAGCGCATAAAAAGGAAATAACTTTGATAATTTTAGGTAGAGGCCGATTACATAAAGAGTTGAAGAGCATGGAGTTGCGTTAACTTTCAGCCACAAATTCAGTTAACTCCGATGAGCAAATGCCAACTCAGATTCATCATTCAGTGGTTAAGTATCGAAGTATAAAAGTCAAAAGAATAATGGATGGTTTTTGTGTGAACAAAACTCAGTGCATTTTCTTATATGTGTTTGGTATTATTTTTTCATCAAATTAAAATTTTATTTCAATAATTGTTGATAATATTAAATACAGATCTATTATATTATTCAAATTTAAATTTTGATTAAAAATAATACTGAAAACACTAAAAATTGTTGTTGTCTTGTTGATGATGATAAAAGAATAAAGTTAAATATTAATTATAAATATTTTCAAGAAAATACTAAGCACAAGAATTTTTTTATTTACAGGAATGAATTAACATTATTCCTATAAGATATGCATAAGTAATCTTAACGTCTTTGACTTTTCCAAGTATAACCCCTCAAATCATCATAATTTTCGGCTGAATCCTGAGAAAATTTTCTGTGTAACATTGCTTATAATTTAACATCTCATCATTATTCATGCTTTCCCTTAAAACTTTGTTACATCCCAGCTTAAGTAAATGAAAAAACTTCAAAAACGTATTTGCTTTGTAAACCATTGCCTTTCTTTAGATTTTACTAAAAATTACAAAAACATTATCTTATTTTACTCCCCCCAAGAGATTTACACGAAAAATGATAAAAACATATAATTAACATTTTTTACGCAAATATTTTAAGACCAGCTAATAAATTTAAAATAAAATGACATTTTAATACTATTGACGAAAGATAAACATAAAAACATAACGTTTTCAAATCAAATTATTATAAACTAGTATTTCTTTGGATGGACTTTGCTTATAGACTCGATTCACCTAAAAAATCTTCACACATAACACGTGCCAAAATGCAGAGCAATTTTATCTGGAGGAGGCCGTTTAATTTAAAGTTTATTTCAACACTATTAATTTTAACTTCTCTAATGAATTTATACTTGTAGAATTTTTAATGTATTATAAACACATTCCGAATAAGGCATACATATTTGTGCACATTATTTCGTAAAAACAATAATAAAACCTTATTCCGTTGGCCAAAGTCGACTATATGAATCATTTTTATTTAACTTAATAAAAAAAATCAAATTTTAAAAAAAATTAAATTATCTCATGAAAACAATTTTAAGAAACCCACTCCGCAAAAATTACAAAAAATAGATGTACAATTTAATCATTGAACGAAGTTAAAATGAAACATATTTTATCCTCTGAATTGCAAGTGTCCGAGGAAAAGGAGTGAATATGTCCTGTACATGACGGCATGTTTTAACCTAAAATCTAAACTTTTTTTTTTTTCATATACGATCAGGCTTTTTTATTTAAATATTATAAATTTAAAAACAATTTCTTAAATCATAGGTTTTTTTAAATTATTTCCCTGTCTGGAGTGATTTGGTTGACGTGGCATACCGTTTCGCTAAAACGGATGGCGATAATATTAATTTTTTATAAAAAAAATAATCAATTTCGTCACTAAAAGTGCAAAATAACCAGATCATGACACGTGTAAGTATCTGGAAAGTTTCACAGTATTAATGACGAAATTAATAAATAGTTTCACTTTAAAAAGTGAAAAACTCAGAGATGGTGACATATGTCATAATCTTAACCAGTTTTGTCATGGAAAATGAGAAACTCTTATATAGTGACATGTGTCACAATCTTAGTTAATTTTGCTATAAAAATTGCACAACTTACAAAAAGTTGATAAGTGTCACAATTTTGATTAATTACGTAAATTAAATATAAAATTTTTAAATTTACTCAATAGATATTAATTAAAATTATATTAAAATTAAAAAATAAATTATGAACATAATAACAGTAAATATTTTTTATATTTACATACAAATTATTAATGTAATGACAATATATAATTTACTTTCATTAATTTTAATAATATAATAAAAAAGATTTAATTTATTAATCAAACAAATTAAATTTAAAAATAAAATTACTAACATAATACTATAAAATAATTTTTATTTACATACAAATTTAAATTATATTTTAATTAAAAAATAAAATTACTAATATAATTTAGCATAATAGTTTTTATTAGTAGATATTAATTATAATTACATTAAAATTAAAAAATAAATTACTAACATAATACCAAAAAATATTTCTTACATTTATATACAAATTACTAATATAATCATACTAAATAATTTATTTTCATTAATTTTAATAATATAATCAAATAAAATCTAATTTAAATTTACATACAAATCAAATCATATTTAAAATAAAAATAAAATAACTAACATAATATTATAAAAAAATTATTTATATACAAATTTAAATTACATCTTAATTAAAAAAATAAAATTACTAACATAATTAAGCATAACAATTTTTATCAGTAGATACTAATTATAATTATAATAAAATTTAAAAAAATTACTAACATAATACTAAAAAATATTTCTTATATTTATATACAAATTATTAATGTAATCACAATACATAATTTACTTTTATTAATTTTAAAAACATAATCATTAATCAAACAAAATCTAATTTTTTTTACATATAAAATATGACCATATTTAAAATAAAAATTAAATTACTAAAATAATAATAATTTGTATATAAATATTAAAAATAATTTCTTGTATATTAGTATTTTTTTAATTTTATTATAATCATAATTGATATATAATGACAAAAATTATTATGTTTAATTATATTAGTGATTTTAATTAAAATGTAATTTAAAGTTGTATGTAAATAAAAAAATATTTTTAGGTATAATATTAGTTAAGTTTATTATAATTATATTTAATTATAATGATATTATAATTTTATAATAAATTTAAAAATTTTATATATATCAAAATCATGACACTTATTAACTTTTTGTAAATTATACAATTTTTATGACAAAATTTACTAAAATCATAACACATATCACCATCTAAGAGTTTCTCACTATTCATGACAAAATTGCTTATTAATTTCGCTATTAATACTGCAAAACTTTTCAAATGCTTACACATGTCATAATCTAGTTATTTCACACTTGATGACAAAATTAATTTTTTTTTAAAAAATAATATTTTCACCGATCATTTTGGCAAAACAATTTACCACGTCAATCAAATCAACAGAAAAATAATTTTAAAAAACCTATAATTTAAGAAATTGTTTTCAAATTTACAACATTTAAATAAAAAAGTCATACGATCAAGTGTCAACCAACTTCAAGAGTTGATCCAAGTGCTGATGCCTGATAAGTTGGTATTAATGAGAGTTTTCTAAAAGGAATAATAATTATAATTGAAATTATATTTAATAATAAAATTTAACATTCTAAAAATTGATAAAATGTAATTAATTGTTCATCCCACACGTACATACCAAAAACAACTCAACATATGATTTTCTAATAAATCACTAAACGTTGATGACGATAAAAATTTACTCAATTAAACTAGTACTTTTGAACAATTTTCTCAAGATTTCTAGTAAGTTTTGACCTTCTTTTTTTTTAAATAAACCCGATAGTGTTTAACTAAACTTGTCTACAAAAACACATCTTTAATAAATTTCCAATACAAGTCCGAGAAATTAAAAAATGAAAGACCATTTCTCTTAAATAATCAAACATGGACTTAGTCTCCGACAAGACATGGCCTAAACCTAATGGGTAAGAACATTCAGTAAAAATAGTTACAAAAATAGGATACCGGAAAAAACATAAGGATTCAGTTGTAGCAAAGCAAGATGTCCCTGCAAAAATATGCCTCTATTTTTTAACTAACAGGTTCATATTTAGGACCTATAAGCATAATTGCACTGACTGCTAAATAGCAACAACGCAAAAACCACAATAAACTGTGAGAAGTACCTTTACTACACATAATGTACCACTCGCTATTCTAACTAGAAAGTAACGAAGTACCAATGGAGCCTCGCTTTTCTTACCCCAAATCCAGACATCACTTAAGTTCGTGACCTTCGTACAGGTGAGCGGCTGCAGATAAATTACAGAGTAAATAACCTCTGATAAAAAAAGAACACTTGCAGGAGATAAATAATTAAATTGACAATGAATACAATACCTGCGGTATCTACCATATTCAGGACTCCTGTGTCTGCCATAATCAGGACTCCTGCGTCTGCCATAATCAGGACTCCTCCGCCTATCTGGTCCATTATACCTATCATACACAGGGCTGCGTGGACGACCATAATCAGGACTTGGTCGCCTGCGATAAGCTGGACTGGGTGATCTCTCATAACCCCCTCTTCTTGGACTGTCATAATTGTCGCCCCTCTCACCATCATCCCTCAGAGCATACTCCACAGACACCACCCTGTCCAGTATCTTACTGCAAGTGTCATGAGACCAGAAATTCATTATTTGTACGTAGTAAAAAAAGAAACCTTCAATAATTTAACCACAAGACAGTTTAATCTACCACTGACCTCATATTTGTACACTCTAGAGCTTTAGTAGCATCTTCTTGTGTTTCAAACTGCACAAATGCAAAATTCCGACGAATTCTAACATGAAGAACCTTTCCATAAGGTTCAAAGTGTTTTTCTATATCACGAACTCTAGTACGGATTGGGTCAAAGTTAATCACAAAGAGAGTTTTTGTTGGCCTCTGGTTTGCCTTTGAGCCATCGCGATGACGCCCTCGCTCACCCTGCCAAAAAAAAATTCTTCTTTAACCCAAGCAGCTCATGGTTATCCACTTGTCCTCTCACAATCTCATCAACAAGTAAATAAAACTATAACATGTTCATGAAAATACTGCCATACCCTAGCCCACTCCACAGATAGCCTTCGCTTTTCATAACCAAAGGGAATATTGTCAAGTGCACGAATTGCTTCTTCTGCATCGCGCTCATCCTCATAATAGACAAAAGCAAAACCTGCAACATAAATAGTATTAGAAGCATAGATGATGATGGAATGCATCAGCATGTTATCCCTCACCAGAAGTACATCAGCCAAATCAGGAAATCATTTTCCCTGTTAGGAACAAAGGAATACAACACCTGAATATAAGTGAGGGCTGATGCACATGAAGCTGTAGAGGCGTGGAATGAGGAACAAAATCATGATTGCAATTAAAGGTTTAAATCCAAAATTCAGATCTGAGATTGCCAAGCATGCTTCTCCATTCAGACAGCACAATTGATTTCAGAAATAGAATGGCATGACTTGACAGAATTTCATTGATCTCCTATTTTCAGTGATGCTAGGCATGGCTTAATAAATTGATTGATGATCCCACTAAGAACATTCTGATGGAAATGTCAATGTTGGGAAGTGAAGTAAGTGAATGACGAATGATCAGATGAGAAAATGCAGATCTGTGGGTAGAAGGAGAGCAGACAAGCAGGAAGGTTTCCTTCCAAAAAAAAAATTTGCAGAGAGGTTGGCAAGCCAAGACAGAAGCTCAGCATATTTTCCCTTAGTAGAAGTTCCTGCGTCAAAAGAAACACTTAAAAACCACAGGATTTGTTTTCCAAAGGCATTGCAATTGTGGCTTCCATTTATTTCCCACCACCAGGATATAGGAACTAGACATTCAAGCCACAAAAGCAGCCATTTGTCCATACCCAAATTCCAAAACATGGCCGTCCCAATATCAGTAGCTGTTAGATGAACATCATTCTTGTTCAACTACATAACACTGTTTACCTATGTGATACACTATCTTCATCAATGATTGCTAGATGTTCAAAAATAAATGTCATCGTTTCCAGACACTAAATTACACAGTACTATATGGGACCCATGAAACTGGTTTGACAATTGCTCATTCATGTCACTTAAAAAACAAAAGAAATGGAAATATGATTCAAAATGGGATGACAAGGTAGGGTTTGTTAAACAAAAATTTAATAAAACATATTAGAACTTCACCATGAAAACATTCTAATTACATATTAGATGACACAAAAAAAAAGGGTTTTTACCAGATTTCATGTCTACGCGGTCAATCCTGCCATACTTGGAGAACAAGCGTTCAAGCTCTGATTGACGGGTATCGTACTCCAAGTTCCCAGCAAAAACCGGTCTCATCTTCTTCACTTCAAAATCAAACCTTTTTTAACACATCATAACAAAAAATCAATCTATGAAACTAACCCAACAAACAACGAATATAAAAACAAAAAAAAGCACAAAACCCACAATGCCCTAACCCTTACACCCCTTAATCGTAAACCCCACTTGGATCTTTCACAAAATCAAGAAGGAGAATCACAGAAAATTCCCACCTTTCTTTACCCAGAAACCCTAAAGTGGTTGATGAGTAGAGAGAGAGAGAGAGAGAGAGAGAATACCTGAAAAAATAGCTTGGATCTTTTTGGGGTTCCCACAGAGGCTTGGGTGTCTGGAATTAAAATAGGAGAGTAAATTTGAAATCTAGGGTTTTCAGGTGTGAGGTGGGTTTCAATCAATTCCAAAATGAGCCCAAAACAAAAAGCCCTAATTTGGACGAATAATCTTATCGGCTCACCTCACAAGCCCAAAATCTGGCCCATTCGGTTTCACTCTACTAGCCCTACCACTCATCCATGTTTCTCAATAAATTCATTTTATAACAATAATATAATGTGTTATATGTGCTTTGTTGTGTGATTTTGATTGTTAGATGTGCTTTTTCAAAATATTTATATTTTAAGAATTTAGTTTCAATACCCGGATAATATAAAAAATTAACATTGTTCTTTAATCATAAACTGTTAAATCAACAAAAAATAAGTTAATTTTTATAACAATTAATACAAAATTATATTCACAATATATTATAATTAATTGATAATATAAAATATTTTGTACTAACCATGCACAAAGAATTATACTCATGTTTTAAATATATGTAATTTTTAAAATCAAAGTTTATTTTTAAAATAAATAAATATTTATTATCATAAACTTCATTCACGTCCTTTCAAAATGATTTTATATCTGACTATTTCTATATTTAATGAATCTTATTATTAACTAGGCTAAACATGTTCAGAATATTTAATTTTTTTTATAAATAAATAAAAAAATGAAATTAATTTAAATTGCATTAAAAAATAAAATATGCGTAAATAATCTATCATTTAAGTTGAATATTATTTAATATTATATTAAAAGATTAAGCTTAATTTATCTTCAAAATTTAATAAAAAATATTATGACTTTATTTATATAAGTAATTAAAAATTAATAATAATAATAATAATAATAATAATAATTTTATTTAACAATCTTGCAAATTTCATATATTAGATATCTTATTTTAAAGGTAAGAAAGTATGATAAAATATTATACATCAATTAAAAATAAAAATAAAATTATCTTTATGAAAGTTAAATAATCTAATTTCTTTAAGTTAATGTTAAAAAATAAATTAAATTAAATTTATCAAATAATTTAGGATCTGGACAACTTATTAAATAATATGTAACAAAACTTTAATAATTTTTATTATAAATAAAAATATATAATCACGTATTATTTAATGAATGACTAAAATTATTAAAAATTAATGGTTTTCACGTCATAGAATAATTTCTTCCAATAACTTGTCTATACCGTTTCACCTCTTGCCATGCACATAGATCATCTCCTGGATGATACAATGAAGCAAAATTTTGTATTTTTTCTTAAGTAAAATTTTTTGACTTAAGCAAAAATGTAAAATTAATTGACTGAACATCCAAGTCCTTCTCACTATCTAAAAGAGTGCCTCTAAAAATAATTGCAGGTCCCACAGTCATCATAATATTAAATTGATAAAAATTTAAAGATTTATTTTATAAATTAAAAGAAAAAATATATGTTTAAAGAATAAGAGAGAAGAGGAAAAAATAAAAATAAAATATTAATTTTGAAGAGTACAAGAAGATTTTAAAAAATTTTAAAATAAATAATACTATTAAATAAATTTTTCTAATATCTTTAAATTAAATTTTAAACAAAATTTAAATATTTAATTTTTTATCCATATTTAATATTTTTATCAAATTATAAATTTTTTTTGTGATTGAAATTTCATGAAACTACTTTCATGACTATAAGTCTACTAAGAATCCACTCCAGATTCTACAAGAATTATTCTTTATTGTTGAAATGCTTACTAAAGAAAAAAAAATGGTAAATAATTTTTTGATATACTATTAATTATTAATTAAATTTTATTAAAAATTATATTTTCATTTTTAATTAATATTTTTTATATTTTATTATTTTTAATAAATTAAAATTAATAACTAAAAATATAATTTTAGTAGAGAAAAGTAAAGAATTTGACAAAAGAAAAAGAAAAAAAATTATAATCTTAAATATGAAATTAATTTTAATTTTGTAGGAAGTAAGATTCAATATTTAAAACTGTAATATGAAATGACTCTAAGTTTAATTAAAAAATCTACACATGTTGCCTTTGAAATGTGCGTCTAATGATAATTTTTTAATCTTTTCTTAATTACTCTTTTTATTACTTATAAAAATATAGAACAATTTACACCGCAAGATTTATTCATTGCGTTAGAGTAACACAAGAAATATATGATATTTAAATTTTAAGTATTTTTAATTATTAAAGCACAACTATGAGTTGATTATAGGTATTATTATAAATGTCAATAAATTCAAAAACTCTTCTAAACCAATTTTCATCTATATTTCTAATAAGAACACTAAAATCAACTCTTCGTAAGCTTTCTTGAGCACTCTCATCAATATTGAGGATGAATTTAAAATTTTGATAAGCTTTCCAACAAACCCAACATTTCAAGTGGTCTGAAAATACTACACTTGTTCATATAAATGAAACTGGTTGGTAAAGTTTATAACATCAAACATAATTTTATAAATTGAGATGTTTTTCTAACAATGCAATTAGCATTCTTGCCCCTTCACCATAGTGTAGCTAAAAGTAAGGAATAATTACCTTTATGTTGAGTTATAATTCACTTGTTGGCATCAAAGGAAGTTACAAATCCTTCATTTCATATATCTACATGAACTCATATTTTCTTAGATGTTGGATGCACTTGTAAGGAGGTTTAGCATTGGAGATTAGATTTAGACATGTTCCTTAAGTGCTAAGCATAAGGAGAAGCAATGGAAAAGCGACGAGACCAAAATTGAAAGCGAGCCAAAAGGCACTAAGGAAAGAAAGAGTGGAGGGATAATATTTCTTTGAGATTTAAGAAATACTTATAAGGAAGTTTAGTGATAAAGATGACTTTAGACAAGTTTCTTAAACGTCAAGTTAAAATGAAATTAATGAGACAATCTTTGACATAGTGAAGAATGTCCTCGATGTAAGTGTTACATATTAAGTAAATGAATGAAAACGTCAAATTATTATGATGCCTTAAGTAATTTGTGAGAAGGATATTATAACAAATAAGTTAAATTAGAATTTTTTTTTCATAAAGAAGACATCAAATCCACGTCTAACTAATGTATTGATATTGAGTTCTCCTATTAACGAACTAGTTAAAACTATGTTTACTTATATAACTTCATTCTAAATTACTTGACCAAATAAATATGTCTATAATATGACTATTAATTGACAAGTTAGATTCACAAGTAACTGAAGTAATTAATATTGGTATAAAACGTCAAATTTAAGTAAAAATTTACCTCTACTAAATCTAAATGTTCTTAACTTTGAGTTTGAGTGTTAATAAAAAAAGTGTAATCACATAACTTATAGCTAAAAATAAATTAAAAATATGTTGTTAACATTATTTTTATAAAATTCACCGAAAAAAAAACTAACTATTTTACTTTTTTTATTTATTACTTTAATATCTTCCTAATTATTACGTTTTTATTTAATCTCTAAAAGTAGTTTATTATAGTTTATTATAAATATTTTATCCTTTATTGAGACTTTTTACTTACTGTTGATATAATATATATGAGTTTATATATTCATTGTTTTAAAAATTTAAGGTTGTATTTAGAAAGAAATAATCTAAAAAATTTAACATTTATAACCAGGGATATTTAAAAATAAATAAATATGAAAAGAATTATTAATGATAATTATAAAAAATTAAGTATTTTAATTTTTTTTAAATTGTTATTCAAAACTTGTTGTCCTTAACGTAAAAATTTTCTAATTAAAATTTTAAAATATTTTAAAAATACTTATTTTAGTATCTAAATACATGTAATCTAATAATTTAAATTTCTTCTGTCCAAACAAAACTAATAACAATTTTATTATTTTTTAAAAAATGTTACCGTATGGCAATTTATGTAGTAACAAAAAGATTTTAGATTTTCTGGAAAGATGACATTGCGGCTGGTCCATTTTGTTTACAATAATCCTAATAAAAGTCAGAGAAAGCATTTTAATTTGAATCGTTAAGAATAAATCTTGACCGATCTAAGCGTATTTGGTCAAACTTTATAAATGCATAGCACAAAGCACGAAATAGACATCATGGATATAAAAAAAGCAGAATGAGGAAGTTTCATGGAAACTTCCGCAGACGAGAAAGTTAATATAGGACAAATACTAAATATATCTCACTATCTGGGTTTGGTATGAATAGCATATTTAATGGGAAAAAAAATATAGAAAGATGAGAATATTTTAAGGTTAAAAAGAAGAGAAAGGAAAGCAAAAGAAGTATGATATTATTACGTCTCATTAAGGATTGATAAATGGACATTTCGAGAATAATAACATGTAAATTTAAAATGTATTTAAGAGTTGTCTTGAGTTTGGTGTTAATGCCAAGATAAAAGTGTTTTGTATGATAAAACGTAGTTTGGTGTTTGCATACTTGCAGTGTAAAGTGTAAACAGATCTTTTCCCCCCATCAACTTTGGTCGTGTATAAAGCTACTGCTAATTATAATTACACGCTCGTTGTTGCACCACACAAGATGCCATAATTATGACATTAACACTTGGCCTAACATGCTAGCACTCGTGTCTTAAAAGTGTAAGAGATAATCATACTTACATATAAACACTTTTTATTCAAGCTTCAAGCTATATATTAAACTGACTTTCAGCATATAAAACTAATTTAATATTCATTTTTCAAGTAATTTAATAAAGTGTATTTAATATATGTATCCTATAGTCATGGACACTAACAATGGATTTCATTGTATTATGATTAATTCTGAAGACTTTTATTTCTAAATTTAACTTAGACATAACTCATTTTTTATTTAGTGTGAAGCAGTGTCAAACTAAATTATCCAACAAACGTTAACTCTTCATGAAAAGAAAGTGATCCAGCCGCACTTAACAAAAATAAAAAATAAAAAATTAATACTTAGCTAAAATTATAAATTGAAAAGGTATATTCCCAAAGGAGAACAATAATACCGTTGAAAG